CCAATCCTCTCTCTCATGGGAGATTCTCTTCGTTCTCACAAAAGGGACATGCTGGTTAGCTACAAGCCTACAACGCATACTGAAGCAGTGGCTTGCGCTTTATGTTAGTTGAAGCCATCGCACTTTGCAAGGTAATCTGACAACCTGCATAAGCTGATCTAGATGCATGACGCGGATGTGGATCCTGGAACTACTAACCACACTGTAGCGTTGAGCGTGGACTTATTGTTAGCAAGCCAACTAATAGCTTTTTATTTGCTATTAGCTGAGCCCCGTTTAGATCCACTACGTAGAATATGATTTCTGAGGGCGGCTCAGAGGCTCTGTAGAGGCGGTTTGTCCAGCCGTCCCTATCAAGGGTCTATACAAATTATGTATTTGTAGGGACAGTTTTTAGATCGACCCTACAAATCGATTTGTAGGGGTGGCTCAATATCTAGCCTCCCCTGCAAATCAATTTCCAGAAATCACGAAAAGGGGGGGATAGCAATTTTTTTTTAATCCGAAGAGGTCCCCACTGGTAGCCTCACCACCCACTCTATCGTTGTAGCATTTTTCATGATTTTTCCACACTTTGCGTCGGTTGGGATTCGAACTTGTAGCATTTTTTCATGATTTTTCCACACTTTGCGTCAGTTGGGATTCGAACCCGCAACCTCTCCCTCGTGCGCAAACTCCTCTACCACTGCACCTCACATTCACTTGTGTCTACAATCCATTTCGGTTCCTCACGTATTATACAAAACTGAGCATAAATTGATTGTTTGAAGCCCTAAACCAATTTAAATGAAAAAGTTGTCAACTACAAAATTTTATAACTTTTCGAGATCTACAACTTTTATTTTGATAGTTTCTCCATCCGAGGTCATTTATAAAATTTGAATTTCAAATTTAAGAAATTCGAACGTAGTTTTTCATGACAAGATGATTTCAAATGAGAAAGTTATCAACTACAAAGTTTCATAACTTTTCAAGATCTACAACTTTCATTTTTACTGTTTGTCCATCCGAGGTCGTTTAAAAAAATCAAATTTCAAATTTTTGGAAATTCAAACGTAGTTTTCCTTGACAAGATGATTTCAAATTAAAATGTTGTCAACTACAAAGTTTCATAACTTTTCGAGATCTACAACTTTTATTTTTACTGTTTGTCCATCCGAGGTCGTTTAAAAAATTCAAATTTCAATTTTTTGAAAATTCAAACGTAGTTTTCCTTGACAAGATGATTTTCAAATTAAAAAGTTGTCAACTACAAAGTTTCATAACTTTTCGAGATCTACAACTTTCATTTTGGTTGTTTCTCCATCCGAGGTCATTTACAAAATTTAAATTTTAGTGCTTAATTTTTAATACTCGACATCTATTTGTAGGGGCGGTTTAATATTGAGCCGCCCCTACAAATGGGTCTATTTGTAGGGGCGGCTGATAACACCGGCCGCCCCTACAAATCCATTTGTAAGGGCGGCTCATTTGGCAACCATTTGTAGGGGCGGCTCAATATAGAGCCGCTCCTACAAAGAAAGAGAGGCGTTGTACAAATCGTTTTTGTAGTAGTGATCCTTCAATGCAGCTAATAGTTACTAGTATTTAGCTAAATAGTGCCAGTTAATGATTTTTTATTAGCCAAATGATTTGTTTTAAGCTATTAGTTGGACTATTGGCTAGGATTAGAGCTAATTTTAGCGGCTAATGCTCATGAGATCCAAATTAGTAAAAGGATTAGAGCTTAATTTAGCGGCTAAGAAGAGAGGTTTAATGCTCATGAGATCCAAATTAAACAAGTATAAAATATACCTTTTATCTTTTCAATGAAATAACTATGGACGAGCTTTTATTATTCAAAAAGCGTAAAGCTTAATGTTGTGATAGGGAAAACCTTTCACCTAAGAAGAGAGGTTTAGGACAAGAAGTTGTACTCGTTGTAGATCTCTGCAAACACTATATCAAACTTATATTTTGATATAAAATTGGTAAAAAATTAAAATACTTTGACCTACGACAAAGATAGAAATGTTTAACCAAGTCAAGTAGTAGTAAAACTACGTCTCCTTTTAGGAAAAAAGAGAAAGTAAAAAAAATATATGCTTTATTTGACTGTGGTCATAATCATCGGTCGACTTGATCTGTCTGAATAACCCGACACAAAAGTTGACCATGGACTGTGTACATACATGACTAGCTTCTTTGGATCTTTATGTCGGCGAACACGAGTGGTCCCTCTGCCGACAACAGTACACATCCGACGCAATCATGAACGTGCATGTTACGTGATGGATCGATGCAACTAGCTAGCTTTGCATGTGGACGGCGAGAAGCAACCACCGTGTGCAGTGCAGCAAAACTGCAAAAGTGGATCGATCGGATCCCGGCCGGCACGGCAACATGCATATATGTGCATGCATGGCGCATGCTACAGGTACTCTCCTTCCTATCTATACGACCGAACCCATGCAATGCAATGATTTCATCAGGAACTATGGCCGACGACGCATTGCTTTGCGCCATGGGCCATGCGAGTAGCTGCTTCTAGTAGTAGTGATCGAGTTGCATGGATGCATGCATATTTCCTCATGATTGAGAGGAAACAGTTGTGATTGTGATGGCTTTTCTAACATGACTAGCCAAGTGAGCTGTGTACGTTAACGTTATGCTGTTGTTCAGATCCATCGATCGGTTCCTGGGGACACACACACACACACAAGCAACAACTGTAGTTAATGATGAGTCGAGATGGCTCGGAACCTCCTAGCTTATCCAATACAATTTTTTCGATCGTTCTCTTTTATGTTTAGTAGCAAATATGTCCGTTACATACAATCTAATGTCTTAGAATCATATTTTGTACAATCACTAGATACGAGTTGTTCTAACTCATACGCACATAGGCCATGAATTCAAGTCATATACATGATACAGAGGGCGCGAGTGAAAGCGACGACTTTCGAATCAATGAGCGAAACACAGGTACGAGGGTTCTGGAGACCTGCTCTCCCCATCTGCTCTCCCCATCGTCGGTGCACGTTGGCACTCGGGATGGAGAAGTTACGATAGGGGCACAACAGCGGAAAGAGGCAAAAACCAAAAACTAAAACCATCAAAGGAAGCCAGGCGGGTTAGATTTGGATGGACCACGTACGCACACAGGTGCCCCACGGCCAACGAGCCAAGAGACATGTCAACACGTGGGTTTTCTTCCTCTCTTCCAAACTAGACGTGATGATGTGGAGGGACGGAATTCTAAGTATATATGACAACCTTCACTTCCATGAAGAATAAGATCGGACTAAAGTTCCTTACCTTTTCCTCTTTGCACGCATAAATAGTTCTCTGAAATTTATTTGGAGTTACTCAGAATTTGTTATTGGCCCTAGCCCATGTATTGTAACACAAACCTGCTGGTATATATATCAGCTTGCTGCACACAGGCCGGGGCTGCACGAATGGTGGATCTGTGATGCCTTCATCCTCACGAAGCATCCATCCTCCCCCGGAAGCAGATCAGCATCGATCGCTGGGGCATGCATGGCGGCGAGCGAAGGGATCGACGAGCGAGCGAGCTGCAGCGCACCTGCATGATTGCTCCGATCGATCCGACAGGACAGTGCCCCAGCCCTCGCTCCCTTTCGCGTGCCTGCCGACGACTGCCGTTGCCCGTTGGCGACCGCGACAGCCTAGCTAACAGCGTTCACACGAGAATAAAGTGGGGGCCGGACCGGGGCCGTACGTGCACGAGAGCGAGCGAGCGGCGGCACCGGCACCGCACGACGGTGAGCCCCCCATGCGTGGCCCTGGCCATTGCTAGCTTCGAGATCTGAGATCTCTCTTGGCACGCCGCCTCCCTGCCGGTGATGGCGGCAGGTCATGAGCCAGCCAGCCATCCACCGTGCGTGCCCCCGTACTCGTAGGGGCGACCCGACCTTGGGTTGCAACAGCTAGCAGCAGGTAGTAGACTAGTAGGGATCGTCCGATCGATGGGTCGCTGTCGATGCGCGACTCGATCCCTCTCCATCGTTCGTTCATCACTGCGCAGTGCAGTGCAGTGCAGCTTCAGCAATGCAACAGGTCACGTACGCACGCACGTGCAGTGGATCCATCATCCACGCATCTCGATCGCAACAGTTGTTTTCATCGATGTATACACACCCACCTAGCCGTTCTGACCACACACTACTACTAGCTCCTGCAGCCAGTACGGCAGTACAGTAAGTCGGCTGATAAATCGGCTCAAGCGGATTTATTATGAGAGAAAAATACGTAGAGCTGATAAGCCGGCTCAAGCGAACAGGCCCGCGTGAAGCGTGCTGTTGCCACTCAACAGTCGTGGAGCATGCAGTACAGCAGCAGGCGAACGCATGCATGCGTGCATTTATTCAGCACTGAAGACTGCAACGGAACAGAACAGAGCGCACGGTCCCTCTCCACCACAGTACAGAGTACAGTCCACACTGTGATCGATCTCCGTCTCATCTACAGCGATGCTTGTGTTACAGAATACGTACAGACTAACAACAGTTTAGTTCTCGTACGACACTGACACGCTTGACAAAGATAGCCACAAACAAACCTCGCTCTAAGCGAGGAGCACTTCGCATTGCCGATAGATCAATGGCATCTTGCCCCACCACCACCGAATTGGTTACAGTACAGCCGCAGCCGCATCACATCACATCATTTGCGAAATTATTGGGAAAGCGACATGACATGAACCAACATATAGGAGTGACAGTGATACACACACAGTGACACAGCAGAGTAATGCATGCTTGCACTCTGTAACCAGTACGCGTTTCATAGCAGTTTTTTTGGGGTCTCATTTTACAAGCAAAACGAGTTTGCTGGCTGCTGTCCCGCACCAAGAAGAGAAAACAGAGAGAGGTAGGAACACAGTGAGTGAGAGAAATCACTAACTACTAGCGACGGCATCTTTCTTATCTATATGCTTAGCCTTGCCTTGCTCCGAAGATAAGGATAACTGGAAACTACTAACATGAGGTCAGAAATCATGCATAATCCGGTCGCCGCCGCAGGTTGATGGGGTATCCTTTGAGGGTCCGGGTGGTGGGGAAGAAGACAATCCTGTCCTCCTCAGCTTCTTCCCAGCTGCACATTGTTCATTGGTCATCAAGACGCACAACTCAATTCAATCAGACTATCAGAGTGAGTGACATCCATCCAGTTTATTTCGAGCACACACGGCGAGCTGGAATCCAGCCAGCCTCAAGATAATATCTATCTACACCACACCCTATCTATGGCGGTAGGATATGAGTGCACGGAATGCAAAGATAAGGATGGGTTACCTGAAGCGCGTCACGAGATGGTGGAGGAAAACAGAAACCACCACCCGGGCAAGCTCGTAGCCTGGGCACAGGCGAGGTCCCCCGCCGAAGGGAGTGAACAGACTGGCCCCTTCTGCGTTCTGAAGCTTATTCTTGCTCTGCACATGCAATGGGAGCCATGAATTGTTCTGCGTGTCTATATCTTTTATAGAAAACATTTCGCGTATACGCAACTCAGCGCGCCAAATATCTTTGCTTTTGATTATAAGCCATATGTTTCTTTTAGATTGAGGAAGGAATAGAGTGATCCAAGGCAAGCACATTAGTGCATAACAGAAAAGATATGTAGAACAGCATAGCAATATTCTGAAGGCCTACCTGCCATCTCCAAGGGTCAAAGGTCCGAGCATTCTCGTAGTGTTCCAGATTAAGGTGCACAGCTCGGAACGAAGCGAATATTTTGCAGCCCTTTGGAATAACGTAATCTAATGAACAAAACAGAAAGTTATAAACGAACGAATGAATATCTCAGCTGGTAAAAAACTTGGAAGACTTAAAGATAGCTTCTATAGAAATAACCTTTAAAATGAATATCAGTGTTTGCACGCCTGAACACCCCGCTAATTAAGTTCGCCACGCGCAGTGTTTCACTTATCACCTGCAACAATGGGGACATCCGATTGTGCTGAAATGTTCTTTTCAAGAGATATATATGTTTATTGGAAAAATGAAACTGCCAGATGGCATTTTGCCTTTCCCATGGTAAGGGCAAGAAGGTGATTTGAAGAAATAAAACAGGGACTCCAGACTGCTTACACATTGTGTAAATGGCATCGACTTGTAATCACTCCATTCCAGAGGTTGGTCTTTGCCTTTTATGCCTCTGATATTGTCATGCTCTTCCTGTAAATTCAGCAAGTATCTGGAATAAATTTCACATGTCCTAAAGCAGAATAACATTTGGACCACAGCACACGATTATGTAACTTAAAACACTGAAAATAAATAAAGATTCCATAAGGTGGCTTAAAATTCAGATCCAGTCCCACTATGATGTTGCTACTATTCTTACTTTCTGCTGTTCCTTTGGATAGCCTTGGCATACTTCCAAGATCCAAGTACAGAGGTGGATGAGAAGGAATAAAGCGCTTTTATTTATGCACAAATAAGAAAAGATGGACCAGGAATAATTCAGTAGTACTAGTAGTTGTGTGTGTAGCAGATTCATTCTTGGACAATAATAAGGTAAGGAAATAGGCAACATCACATTCACATCAGCACCTGTTGCAGGATGCTTATAGAGAATCAAGCAAATTGGGTGTAGTAGCAACAACTTTGCAATAAACAAAACTGACAGATAAACTAAAAAATTGTACTAGAATTCCACCTAAAAACAGAATCCGGGCGGCCACCCGACTTTCTTTTGGACAAGAAAGACTACCGAGTATTGATGTATGACAGGTTAAGGTAATCTACTTAAACTATAATATCATATTACGAAATCGGTTGACGTATCGTCTCCAATGTCCAAGCCAATTCAACTGTTGGCAGTCCCTACCACCACCCACACGTGCGCAAGGATTGTGCTAGCTACTACCACCGAACATTCCAACACAGAAGAATTTCTAATTGCCAAGCAAATCTCTCATGATTGATGATTCTTAGTCAGATATACCTTCAGCTGCGCCAGTGCAGTGGGTGTCTCGGTGAGGAACTTGACGGCGAGCGTCATGAGCACGGAGGTGGTCTCGTAGCCAGCCACCAGCAGAGACAGGCAGAAATCCACCATCTCCTCCACGGAGAAGCTCCCACCCTCTGCTTCGAGAAGCTCCTCCACCATGTCCTTCTTCTCCCTCTTCTCCTCATCCTCCCCATTTTTACTGGCGCCACTGGTTTCCGCCTTCTCGTCCATCCTCTTCCTTATCACCTCCCGAAGAGCTCCGGCCACCTTCTTCCTCGCCTGAATCGAACAAAAAATGCATCTTTATATCAATTTCTCGAATGCAATGTTGCATATATACTAGTAGGGGAGAAAAAATGGGGAGAAGAAGAAAGGCAGACGGGTTTGAGCACCTTGAGGGCCTGGCCGTAGGCGGTGAAAGGGAGGAGGTAGGCGAAGGGGAAGGGGATGGAGAAGAAGCCGTCGATGAGCTTGACGTACTCGCGGCGGACGCTCTCGGTCCATGGCCCGGGCTCGATGCTGACGAGCTGCCAGACGGTTAGGTTGAAGGTGATCTTCTTGGCCTCGTCGAGGAGGCGGACGGCGGGGGCGCCGTGGCGGCCCCAGTCCCGCATGGTGGCGAGGACGAGGCGGTCGATGTGCGCCAGCAGCGGCGGCGAGGCCGGGCGTCCCAGGCGGGTGAGCGTGAGCGAGTGGAGGCGCTTGTGCGCGGGCCCCGCCGTGAGAAGCAGCGAGCGCGGGCCGAGCAGCGTGGCGATGGAGGACGGGTAGCTGCAGCTGACGGCACGGCCCTCGGCGGCCAGCAGGAGGCGGTTGAAGGCCGGGTCGGCGGAGAAGACGGTGCGCTCGCCGAAGACGTGGGTGGTGAACACCCCGCTGCCGTGCCGCGCCACGCGCTCGTCGATGAACGGCTCCGGGTTCGGCGTCTTGTACGCCGCGATGAGGCGCAGCGTCTCCCCGATGAGAGGCAGCCCCGTGCTGCCCGGCGGCAGCCGTGGCGCCGCCGACGCGGACCGCCGCCGCCCCGGCCCCGCCGCCGTCCGCCCGCCGGCTAGGAGCAGCCACCCCAGCGCCGCCGCGGCCAGCACGGCGGTCGCCGTCGCCGCGGCCAGGAGGAACAGCGGCGGTGCCGGACCGCCCGCGTCCATGGCAGTGGCCGTGTGCGGCGTGGCCCTGGTTTGGGTGCGGGCGGAGTGGAGGAGCTCGTGCGCGTGTCGGGGACGGGGAGTGACTGAGATTGAGGAGTTGATGCGGTGCCAGAGATGGAGAGGAGATTCTTTGACACCACCAGCCAGACCAAGGTGGAGGATGTTGGTGGGGCATTTATTTATAGGCTTTGTATTTTTTTTAATAAACGATAAAATTTCCGATTTCATCTATCAATAATAGAATCAGACTAATTATTACAAACTCCAGACGCGTTCACAAAGTACGGTTGCAAGCAAAACCACCAGTCTCGCAACTAACAGAACAAGTAAAAAGTTCTTGACTAAACAAAACCAACATGTCTTTGTGAAAGCCATCCATTAGAACCAAAGAATTCTAGAGCCGACTTCTCAAGGTGTTGAGCCACAGAGATCATTTGATCTTTCAGATCGAATTATAGGCTTTGTATAGATGGCTGATAATAAATTTTGACGAATTTCCTTTTGATGGAAATATATATACTCCTTTAATATAATATAATATAATATAATATAATATAATATAATATAATATAATATAATATAATATAATATAATATAATATAATATAATATAATATAATATAATATAATATAATATAATATAACAAAATTTAAGAGACACTTAAATGACACATATACCGTGAATTGTACCAAATTAAGAAGTTTGTCCTAATATAATATACCCAATTTAAGTGTCTCCTAATATAATATACCAAAGTTTAAGAGACACTTAAATGACACATATACACTATACTTTAGGATGTTCTTAATTGGAGTACATTCTAAAAATTTTAAAACAACTTAAGAGACACTTAAATTTAATATACTTTAGAAGTCGCAGTACTATATTTCATGACGATAGAAATATGTTTTCTGTAGAAGATTTTTGGAGTTTAATATTGAGTTGTGGGGAGATGGACCATCGATAAAGTTTTGTTAGAATAATGCTTGTTTACTTTGGTCCAAAAGGGAATGTATGGCACGGCATGGGGGGCAGTGTGGCCACGCTGGTGAAAAGGGGCGAGGAATGTTTTCTTATTTTTCCCTTTTAGAAAAAGAAACCCCAAACCATGTGAGGGATAAAGTTTAGTATTGTAAGAAGGATAGAGAAACGGGCCCACTTTGAATCCTCTTTCCAAGCAAGGATTTTTAAAACGTGCAATTGTAGATTCATATATGCTCCCCTCCTTCAGAAAAAAAAATCATCCTAATCAGTGTTGCCACACATTAGTAGGCTATATATACACAGTGTATACGGGTTACATGATTTATATAGATTTCATTAATAAAATCTATATAAATTTAAAAAATTTAGTATGTGAAAATTGCAAATGTACCATAGAGTGAAGGCATCGTCACTGCTTTAGTTCATTATAGTGGCAAACATCAAATGGAGTACTTCATAATCCTCACAAGATAACACGAGATACGGTAAATGAAAAAGACAGAGAAATACTTATTGAAAATCTAAAGCGAGATAATATAACCACCGCCTTGCCCACAGCCAGCCATGAATGTGACGACTAAAATGGCCCAAACCTCGAGTAAAATTGTTTTTCCTGAATAGTAAAGTATATTTACACCATGTAAGGGCGTCCACGGTGATAGGTCCTAACCTGGCTCTCTAGATATAGGAGTTGTCTTCATACATGAGTTTGTGAGGCCGCTCCTACAAAGAACTATCTTACGCCTCCTGATGGATCCAAAAACTTCACATCATGTAAACTATCTTACGCTTGACTATATATAAAAAAATACTGATATCTATTGTATTATATTATCGAATAAATTATTGTCCATTTATCACAAAAATATATCTCTACATAGTATCTATCTATCTATCTAGCTACCTGGTGTCACAGATATATTGATAATCTATCGATGAAACATATAATAGTTTGAACTATGAATCTATGATGTGATAAAGCTAGAGCGATATGGCTTTATTTCTTCTTCCTTTTTTTTCCTGGAACGGAGCATAGAGAGTAGTAACGCTAATTTGCTAATGTACAGAATACATGGAGTGTTTGGCAAATATAATGGACACTGTGTTCCGTATCACTCGCGCTAGCTAGCTCCACGTTATGTCAGACGACGACGCGTGTTGATAGGCGGTGGTGGCGTGCTTATATTTAGGCCTCGTTTGTCAGGGTTTCTCCACCGGCTTCAGGAGCCGTTTGGAACCGATTTTCTACCAAACGGGGTAAAGTAAAATAGCTTTACTTGTGAAGCCCCTAAAAACATGCTCTCACAGTGATTTGGGGTGGGATGGAGCCAAAAAAAAAAGTGGCTTCTCCCGGCTCCTCTTACATGCCCCTAAAAACATGCTCTCACAGGGAAGCAATTTTGCTAAACGGTTTATCAAAACCGCTTCAGCTTCACTGGTGGAACTGTTCGTGAAGCTGAAAAAAAAAAAAAATAACTTCACTAGTGGAAGTGAAGCCCTGCCAAACGGGACCTTACTCGAGTTGACATGGATGCGTCATGGAGTGGCTTGGCATACCCACACCGTGCATTGCAATGCTACGGTGCAAGGCCGCCCGCTGCTGATTGCGAGGAGGCACAGGCAGCACACAGAACGCGGCACGCGGTTCCCTAAGCCCAGCTCGCCCGAGCTCGATATACCCCCGCCGCGCAGCCCAGTTAGTATGCTGGCCCAGAGAGACGTTCACCAGTGCACAGCAGTCGGGCCCATGAAACACGTTGGCGTCAGCCCTGGCTGGCTGGCCCTGTTTCGGAGCGGAGAGGCTGGGCTTGTAAGGCCCTGGGCCCTGGCCCTGGGTTCTGTGGTTCGTTGGTGCTGCTCTGTTTTTTGTTTTTGGGTTGTGCATTGATCCATCCACAGCTCGGTTGGGTGGGCCTATCTGACTTTTAATTATAATTTAATTTACGTAAGTATAAAAGCAGTTTCGACGCGCGGAAACCTAGCGTGCGTAGAAATAGAAACCAAAGCTGAAGATGATGCAGCGGCGACGGCCAAGCAAGCAAGCACAGTGACGGAGCCAAGAATTATACTTATACTTAGGAGGGGAGGCCAGCCAAAAAAGCCAAGCAAGTAAAAACTTGGCACAACCCAACTCGTTAGGTTCCTCGTGGTGACCGTCCGGGTTAATTCATTGACTTGATGGGATCTCGCAGCTTTTTATATTTGTCCTAAGATCTAAGGTGCTATTTTTTTTTCTAGTGGTAAGTGATATGCCCGTTGGCGACAAGACGTCTGAGATGACTTTGTAAAACTCGAGATATACCGTCTAAAACTTAACATGGTGCTCATAGGATAATTTTATTATCTAGTTTTACTTTGTATGATTTTATTATCTAGAAAAATGTTAATAAGTGTATATGACCATAATTTTATTATATTCTCCCTCTTAATATAAATAAAATTATAAATTTATAATACTAAAAAATTGTTGTGATATGTTAGGGGGCCATGGCCCCTGCCAGCCCCCTTTGCCTCCGCCACTGAGTACACGTACCCAATTTATTTTTCTGTTTCCTGCTTCCACTTCACCAACATGTTCAAAAAATCCATCACCTGGAAATCCAACGAATTTCTCTCATTTTTCTGTTTCCCGCTTCCACTTCGCAAACAACTCAAGGGTTATAATAAATTCATACACGTGGGATTAAAAGAAATCACCTGGGCTGTCCTTAAGCAAATAGAAGACACCGATTTCCCTACCCGTCTCGGCGACCAAATCCAATTCCATTGTTTCTTTCACGAAGGACCTGAAATAAGAGACATATTATATGAGAGAAAATTACGTCGATAACTTTTTTGAGGGTAAATGTTGTCTAGAAGGACACCTTGAAAGTCGTCCCCTATGTATATCGGAAACCTTATACAAAATAGAAAAATTAGTTGTTGGACGAATACAGAAACATTCCATACAATCTTAGATGGCCTCTACCACAAAGTAGGTCATGGACATCGTATTCTATTTTTTGCGATAGAAATTAGGGGAGGGGGCGCGTGCCCTCTCCCTCCACCATTGTTTACCTTTTAATATGTTATATGTATTTTTTTATAGGTTGTACACTCAGTGGCGGATCAAGATAGTGGCATCGATGTCGTGACAGAGATGGCATTTGGCCCAGTATATCTCCTCGTATTGGATCGATGACAATGAGCCCAAAATCTCCAATGACATCGGTGCTCTCAGCCCACATCAAAGAATCCTCCGTCGTCCTACCTCTTGGCCTCCGTTTCCTTCTCCACGAAGGGTTGCAGAGCTTGAGTGAAGTCAAACGACACAAACGACGCCGACTCATGCGACTCGGCCGAGACGCGAAGCCGCACACGCGACGTCGCCTCATTCCAGAGCGGCCGGCAATGAACAAAGACATCGATCATCCCCATCGGTACGCCACACTGCAATCCTGCATCAATCATTTCACTCCGTCGCGCGCCGTACTCGAGCAATGACAGACTTTCCCCTATATCCTGATTCGTTTGGGTTTTTTTTTAATTTATTGATTGGTGATTTAATTTAACCATTAATTAATTATACAGCTAGCAAGGTAGAGGAAGCAAGAATTTGATGGATCGATTCTTGAAAAGAAAAGTACCACCAGCGGCCAGTGATGAAGGGACTTCACAGGGAGATGTTGGTGCATCAAACATCAATGCTACAGCTACAGGTCGTCCTTCTTTGATACTATCACCAAAAGATGTTAATTTAGATGATCTTTTTGATGATCCAGCTGATAGGAAGAGAATAATTGAATATCCTGGTCTTAAGCTACGAGAAGAGATAAGGAGAAGATATTTGATTAGAGGTCCTCATAGACCACAACCTAATTTCAAGTATCCGCAATCAATCATAGCAAATGTTCCTGACGGTTTAATCCTGAATGGTTTAAAAAATATGATTGGCTTGAGTATAGGGAGAAGGTGGATAAAGCCTTTTGCCTATACTGCTATCTCTTTTAGAGAGCGCATTGAAGGACAGGGTGGAA